AACCGAACAGGCCATCCTTCTAGCAAGGACCCCTCTGTTAGCAACCAGGGGTCAGGTGACAGGGAAGTTGCTAACATGATTTGTGACAGAGCTTACTCACCTCATCCCAGGGGGATGGGTCGAGAGATCATCTTACACAGCTTGAGGACAACTTTAGGACCCAGGACATCCGTGCTTCCTGCTCCTAACCTGGTTTGGGTTGTTTCCTCATCTACTGTCTGACTTTTGGAAAAACAGGTTTGGCCCCCCAATCAACCATACCTCACGGAAGTCATAGACAGGCATCGGCCGTGAGCCCAGATGGAAGAGGCCAGGACACAAGTGAATGTCTTTGCTCTTTATTATTACTGGTGATTTCTTTTACAGAAAGAGACAACATTCAACAGCTAAACTCAACAATTTTAAAAAGAGAGAGAGAAATCGGAAGCAAGTGTGTTTGCGGCCCCAGGCTCAAGTGAAATCCTGCCATATTGTTGAGTGTGCAGATGTCCTAGCTGACAATGGTCACCACATGAACACAAGCACAGTTTAAAGTGGGACAAAAATGACTCTATTTCACAGACATCATTCCTACAGGCTCAGTTGCACATACCAGGGTTTCCACCGTCACGAATTCACAATAGCAGGGTGAGATAGCAGGTGGGCGCAAGCCTGGGAAAGGGACATCTGTAAGGGGAGACGGACTGGGAGGCCAAGGAGTTGGGGATTTATCTCGATCCTGGATGTCTGTGTTCCTGCTCGGACCCGAGGGTGGGAGAAGGGCAGGCACTGATCACTGGTCAGTTAGCAGCACAGCGCGACAACTGGGGAGGCAGTGAGCCGGAAGGGGTGTCGTGTTTGGATAGCTTTGTCAGAGAAATGCTTGAGAGAGAGCCTGTGAAAGGAAAACCTCCCTAAGTTTGAATGGGGACGAAACCTCCCTAAGTTTGAATGGAGACGAATCATGGAGAGGCTAGTCTAATAGCAAAACATCTGCTTTACAGAATCCTTAGAAAGCTACACAGTTGTGCGACTTTACACTTGAGTTCATAGACTCCGTTACTCAGAGGATAAAGAAAGGAGTAGCGTGAAAGGCGGCAATAGTCAAACGTTCCCACGGTGGAGAGAACCAGAGATCATCCAGGACAGAAGGAGCCTCACACACGAGGACTGCTAAACGCCAAAGCTGAAGGCACGGTGAAGGGATCCTTAATATCTTGGGCCCTTTATTTGCTAAAGGGACTCATTTTATACTGGATTCCTCTTACACAAAAGACCCTGAAATTTTACTAAAGGGAAAAATATTTCCAATATTTTCACTCAGCAAGACTTGCGGATAACTGCGAATTCTCTTAAATTGCAATTTGCTCGAAGTTCTGAATGAGTGGGCTTCCAATGAATGGGATTTCACTGGCATTGCAGGCAGTCTGATTACAGTACTCTTATCTTAAATGAGCTAATTACACTGATTAGTATTAGGAGAGTGCAGTGGGGAGGATGTGTTTGTTTCTTAATCGGCACAATCCTGAAACGAAGCCTCATTACTTGTCAGGCTGAAACCCAGCTTGGCACCTCAGCTGTGAGTGTGAGTGTACACACCCGAGACAGAGCACACACACTTCTAGAAAGACAGAGCTGAGAGAGTAGGGAGCCTCTCCTGCTCTCTCGCTCCCTCTCAGACAAAAGAACATTCTAGAGGCAGTGTTGGCTTTTTCTCATCTCGTGGGATGCCATTTGGTCAAAAGGTCTCCTCTGGCTGGGGGTTGGAAGTCCTCCATGCACTGGAAAAGGCAAACCAGCTGGCTCCAACAACTTAACAAAACGACAATGTCCCGCCCGGAATCCCTCCCATTTGGGCCACCAAAAGACAACGTCCAACAAATTGGGCTGATTCCTGGTTTCCAAAGCACCCAGTGGAATTCACACGAGTGGCAGTGGGGTTCTCGCGGAGACCGCTCAGTACTGCGTTGCCATCAGCCAGAACGCGACGCAGCTGTGCTGGTGGTGTTCAAGCGGGCGCAGTGCCCATGCCTCCTTCTCTTGTGCTTTCATGTGGAAACCCCGAGGTGAGGGGCAGACACGGAGGGACAGGATGGTGGTTCTTGTTTTTGAAAGTCTTAAAAAGTTTTTGGTTTAAAACAAGTGACAGTCCTATTTCAATGAATTTTTTAAAGCCTTTTCTTCTTAATGAAGAAAGTCTAAATTGCTAGCCCCCCCTCCCCATTCTCAAAGTCAATAGTCACACACTTTTCCACACAAAAAAGGGAAAAAGGCCCAGGAGTGCTCAGATAAGCATGTGAGAAAAGGCAACATGCACACATACACACACACACACACACACACACACACACACAGGCCCCAAGACAACGAATATGTGGCTACTCAAGGTTAATACTGTATCAAATCCACGTCCATACAAAGACAGAGTTTGAAAAGTATGTACAGGGCGTTCTTAAAAGCCAAATGTGCACCACAGGAGTCATGCCCACTGTGTACTGCAGTCTTTTTCCTACTATATGCTTCTAAATGTCCCAGAGACTGCGGCCTCAATCCACCTCGAAGAACGGCTGTCAAGCACCTGAACCAAGACCACAGAGCCTCAGCTGTCCCGGGCTGCGCCAGGCCCTAAAGACGCTGACTCTGGGCTCTTCCCACGGGCCTGCACTCAGCCCCTGAAGGACACGGACCTGCCCTGGACAGGCCGTTCCCCAGGCGCCTGCTTCCTGCTCTCTCCCATCTCCAGCCAGCCCCAAGCTATCCGGGCACTGGGCAGAGAAGGGCTCCACAGAGGCCAAAGGCAGTGGGCATTGCTTGGCATCCTCCCTTTGGCTCTGGTCAGCGGGGCCCAGGCCTGGCTCTCTGCCAAACAGAGAGGAGGCACATTGGGGTAAGTGTCTTCTCATGGGCTCCCAGGTCACACGCAGGCACCTGCCTGACGAAATGCTGGGAGAGGGGGGCTGCCTTCCCCAGGTCCTCCAACATGGCCTCCACCATAGAAAAAGAAGGGGCCTGTTAGGTCAAAACTCCCTTTGTGGAAAACGGCTGGAGTGCAATGCTAGAGTCCCAGGGAGGGGAGAAGAAGGAATGAAAGGTGAAATGCCACCTGGTCAGCACCTCTGGGATGGGGGAGGGGACTGAAGGGCCAACTGGCAGGAGACTGACTCCCTAGGTTGAGGCTCAACGTTTTCAGTTTGGGGCCTCCCAACCTCCTCAGAGGCATATAAGGGCCTCAGCTAATACTGGTCCCCTATAACCTACATATTTCTGGAAGAATCTTCCTAAGGGCAAAGCTCACAGGCTCCCTGGTGCTTCAAACACTCCACAGAGATTAGCTCAGTCAGCTTCCAATGGGCCTGTGAGGTGAAGGGAAGGAGACCCCCCAGCCACAGGCCGAGTCGTCCATGCTGGTGGCCTCACTGGGATAGGAACACAGCCCCCTGACTTTAACACATCCACGGCAGGTCCCCAAGACCAGAGGGGTCTCCAGAAATCATCTGGGCCTCAAGGCAGAGCTGCATTCCAAGGCCAAGCCTAGCTGCCCGCCTTGGAGAGCTCTTTAGACAGCAAGAAGCTTGTCGAGTCTGTGTGATTTCAACTGCTGTGGTTGCCAACAGACCCAGTCTGTGCACTCTTTAGGGCCCCATAAAGATGTGCTACATTTTTTAAAGCACCACAGAGGAAAAATGGTTTGGCACTGAGGCCAGGAAGAGGGAGGTGGAAGTGGGGGAGGCAGTGTCGACAGTGTTTTATGCCTGGTCACTGACCGCTACAGAAAGGGGTTACTGAAAACAGACTAGCCCCTGGCAATGGCAGAGCAAACCCCAGCTGGACCTTCCACCCCAGGTCATGGGCTCCCCCCACTTCCCCATAAAGAAATGAGAAAAAAGGGACACTTTAGGATCTTCTCCCCAGTTGGGCACCATCATTAAGGAGAAATCATTGATCTGAAGTTCAACACACCAATACACGTAAAAGGAAGTAACCTAAAGTTCAATGCCAGAGAGCACAGGGCTGAGGATGTCAAGCTCATGGGTTCCATGGGCTTATAGGCCAGTTACCCTGCCAAGGAGAACACTTCAGCTCTCCGCCCCACAGCAGCCAGGTGTCAGACAAGTTTGTCCCGACAGCCGCAAGGACAGGGGAAAGAGCAGGGGCTATGCCAGGGCAAATCTTGAGCACTAACTGGAGCTCAGCCCGTCGTTGGAGGCCATGGGCAGGGTCAACGCAGTGGTTTTCCCCATGACGCAGCACTCCGGCCCAGCCCAGAGACCAGGAGTGGCCCTCCTGGGTGGCAGAGGAGGAGGGGGCTCGGCCTGCCAACCCCCTGCCCTCAACCTCCACACCCTGCCCTCCTGCCAGGTTGCCCCATACATTCCTCTTCAGTGGTCAGAGCAGGGAGGTGGGTGTTGGGGGTGGGGGGTCACAGACCTGTGCGACTTTCCTCGGCCCCTCTGAATGGCCCAGGTTGTACTGTTTTGCTGTGTTCCTTGTTGACTCACTTATTACTTTTTCATTTTGCCCAATCCTTGTCCCTGTCCTCAAAAGTCCAGCCAGGACAGAAAGCACAGGACTGCTGGGGAGAAGGACTGAATGTGTGCTAAAGGGCTGGCCTCTTGCCTGAACCTCTGTGGCTGGGATTCCTAACCCAGACAGGTCTCCAGTCAGCCCCACAACCCCGGGTCAGAGCCTGTGGACATCTGGGCCACAATCCAAGGATGATTCCTTTGGCCTAAGAGAAGCCAGCCCCTGACAGGGGCACAGGACGGTAGGGCCATGGGGGCATCCAGAAGAGCTGGTCTTTCTGGCCTGTCACTCTTCCCAGGGGACTTTGACTCATGCACGATCCCTACCCCTGACCCGCCCCACCCTGTCATTGCCAACTGACTTCCCATAAAAGCAGGGTTATGGAATTATTTGGCAACAAGGAGGCTAAGGCTGCTTTGCGGTGGCACAGTCTGAGAAAATGTGAAAAGAAACTCGAAGACACCTGAAGGAGGCTTCCACCCAGGGCCCGCGCGCCACTATTTGTCTGAGCCAGGGTTGGCAGCCACTATCTCCTCATACTTTGGGGGCGGATCGCTGTAAGAGACACTGGCCTCCTCACTGCTGCTCTCCTGGGGAGCCGTCACCTCCTCGTAGGATGGGGGCGGGGTGGCACTGGACCGTCTGGAGAGGGAGAGCTCAGGGAGGTACAGGGTGCTCTCCAGCCGGACCGTGGTCCTGCCCCCACGACTGGGCCCCAGCAGCACGTGCGGGTTGCTCCCTGCTTCCCGGTGGCCAGAGGACTCGGCCAGGCCGTGCACAGTGCCGCGGTACACCATGACCCGGGGGAGGCTGTGCCCAGCACGACTAGCAAGGTACCGGTTCTGAGTGTAGGAGGGGTGATGGCGGGTGGCCTTCTGCAGCTGGCACCTCCAGATGATGAACAAGGCGATGACAATCAGTAGCGCCACTCCCAGAAGGGGCACCACCACGTACATGTTGTCCGAGCTCTACGCGGGGTTCCGGACGGAGTAGACTGCGTTCGGGTACCCCTTCCGGAACTCCATCTGCGAAAGAAGAGCAAGAGGGTCACTGGCACCTGGAGAAGACGGGCACAGTGGGAGGCTCTCTGAGCACCCAGGCCCCAGGTGGGCTTCAGAGGCCCTCAGCAAGGCCATTCTGAGGTTCTGCAGGGTCTGGGGCTGCTGCTCACCCTTTCACACCTGGTCATCCTCAGAGGGACCCAAAGGACAAAGGGCACCCCTCCCAAGTGAGGAGGACCCCAGGAGTCAAGAAGGGTAAGGACACTCCTCTGCTCCTCCAGGGCTTCCCTTCTATGCTCCTCATTTGGTTGAGAGTCCAGCCCGTGTCCTCGGGATCCCAGCCCCCAGCCCCAGGGTGGTACGTGCCATCTACACTTTGTCCTCAAACACCTCCTTGACCTCCTCGTGGCTGCAGATGTCTTCCACGCAGCTCCTCCAGGAAATCACTGGCATGAGGAAACCACTTCAGGATGGAGTGGGTGTCCCTGGCCTCCAGAAACACTGAAGAGAGAGGGCAATGAGGCTGGGGATGATGAGTGCCAGGGCTCCCTCAAACCAGACTCAACCCAGGGCCCGAAGCACAATCACGGTGGGCATGAGGCCAACGGAGTGGGCAGATGCCAGACTTCAAAGCACCTCAGACATGGGTGGGGCTGACTTTCTGTGACACCATGAGAATACCATGCACCTATAAAGGGTCCAAACCAAACCAAACCAGTTGCTGTTGAGTTGACTCTGACTCATGACAACCCCATGTGTGTCAGAGAACTACTCCATAGGGTTTTCAAGGCTGTGACCTCTTGGAAGTAGCTTACCAGGCCTTTCTTCTGAGAAGCCTCTGGGTGGACTGGAACGTCCAACCTTTTGGTGAGCAGCTGAGTGCGTTAGCCATTTGCACCACACAGGGACTCCTCAGCAAGGGTCAGGCCTCTGGTTGGTGATGCAAGGACAATGAGAACCAACTGTGCAGGGAAAGCACGCTGCCTAGGGGTGACGGGCGGGATTTTGACCCTGGAAGTCATGGATGGATTTTCCCAAAGGGAAAAGCCCAGCTACAGTGGGGCTGCTGGTGTGGATTAGCTGTGCACCCTGTGAGCCTGAGCTTAGACTTTGAGTGGGGGACTAGAAGTGGGACTTCTCGTTCTCAGGGCAACCAACCCCCTTTGCCCTCATGGCTTGTCATGTCAGTGTCTGTCCTAGTGGCCTGGGTAGGTGCACATCTACCAGGAGCCAAGGGCCTGGGAGAGGAAAGGAGCTACTCAGCCAATCAGGTGCTGGCCACAGGGCTACCTGGGGAGAGGAAGGCTTTTTCCCATGAGTCCCTAGGCGTGACCCTCCATCATTGGGCCTGGGCCTAGAAAACTCACCAGCCATGATGCTCCCTCAGATACAGCATCTCACGTGCCTGGTGAAAGAGAAAAGAAAAGTCACAGCAAGATCACACCCAGAGCCCTTGGGGGCACCCGCTTGGCCCTGGGATGTGCCCACCCCACTGGCCTGGGGTCTAAGGTCAAAGAGCACCTCCATGTAGCCACTCATAGTTCTGTGCATCTCATTCTTCCCCCAAGCTACTCCTCAGAGGTGCCCTAAGGACCAGCAGAGCCCAAAGCAAACCCTTCCAGTATGTCCCCAATAATGTACTTTAACAGTCTAGACGACCTAAGGGTTAAAAAGAGAAAACGCCTACAGGGCGAGGCTCTTCCTTCCTTGCTTCCCTCAAGACACTTCAGAACTGGAAAGGACCTTTGAGACAGATGGGGACATGACGCCCAGAGAGACTGGGGACTTAGACAAGCTCATGACAATCAACAGTGACAGAGATAAGACCTGAATTCAGAACTAATTTTGATCCCGATGATAAGTCCCAGATACCTCTAATGACAAGCACAGTCCTTGATAACAGACAGCACGTGGTTAAGAAGCAGGCATTGGCAAAGCTTCCCATGGCAGTTACCACCATTCTCAAAGACATGGCCCACCTGGGGCTAGAGAAACCTTCGAGGCCACATGTTTCGCAGGGCCAGGCTCCCCCATGCACAACACAGTCACCTTCTTACTCGGCTTGCCAAAACCCGCTAGTCCCAAGCAAGCCCAGATGACCTGCTATGTTCATAGTCCCCAGACAAGGCAGCAGAGCACCTGGAATCCTCCAAAAACAGGCACCTCTCCTGTCTTTGCACTAAGGAACACTGCCACAGAGTACCAAGACATTTATTTGGATGGTTAGCACTGAGAAGCAGTGCCTGGAACATAAGCTGTTGTTCAGAAGTCTATCTCCTGCTCAGGAGCTATCCAGCCAGATCGACACCTTGGGGGCAGTGTACTGTTCACCCCCGCAGCTCTCTCTCACTCGCACACATATTCCTGAGCACTGGTCACGCCGTCCACATCTGGGAGCAATCGCCCCACCTCTCGCCTCTCCAAGCAGGAGCTCTGGTTTTATGACTAACTGGATGCAGGACACATGAACTGTGTAACCCATTGCGCTACCCTTTTTGCCCAGGCTGCCAGGAAGCTCAACGTTAACACTGCCATTGACCGCCAAGCAGGGACGAATTATGCAATAAGCAATTTACACACAGGCCTAATTATGCTTGCTTACTAATCTGTAGTGCACAATTTCACCTGGTTTTCACCACATCTTTGAAACCCCGGTGAAACTGTTCACTAAAGATTAGTAAGTGAACACAATTAAACTCGTGCATATGTTGCTCACTGGTTAATCCACCACCCCCGCTGCCAAGCACCGGAGTCCTGGAAGCTGCTAAGCACATATGCTTTTCTCCAGCGACACGGTCTATAATTTTCTATTTATATTTTAAGAGTCTTATTGTCTATTTCATCATATGTCTTCTACTCCTTTTGGTAAACGTAACTCAATTTGAAGTAAAAGGAAAAATGGCAAAGCTATCATCCTTCTGGGGAAGCACCATGTCTTGGGGCTGCCCTGTTTTGAGCCTCACAATAACCCTCACCCAAAAACTCTTCCTGTGTGCACTGGTCAACAGACAGCCTGCCCTCATGAGAAACGCTGGCCCTCAGCGTTTACAAGAGCCAAGAGACGCAACATGATCTCAAACTCCTCTTCCGTCATAAATGTCTGATGTTGTCCTACAGCCAGCACCTCTGTTGGGGGCGTTGTGGGTGTGGCCTGCCTAACAGCAAGTTGTTGATAGCATAAAAATGGAGGTGCCGTGTCAGAGTTTGAAAAGGATGGGCAAAGGTTTCACTGATAAGGGAAGATGGAAAATAATACATGTTTCACTGATTATTGAAGAGAAGCGCAGGGTTTTTTTTTTCTTTTTAATTTTTACGTAGAAGAATCATATAACAGCTTACACATAGCCAGCCACCTTCTGTCCCAAAAATGGCCGACTTGGTACATGCATGTACACCCACACATGTCATCAGCCGACCGTGTGTGATCCTGACACCTGCGGCAGCCATGAGTTCATTGGTAAGCTCTCAACAAGCCAGAAGCACGCCCTGGTTAAGCAGCTCAGCTGGCATGGGCCAGCCATTAGCCATTCTGTAGCTGCCACCACCATGGCTGCTGCGGCTGGTGATAAGGCCTCCTCTCCGCCCTCCCCGAAATGTATCAGCCTGCTTCTTCCCCTATAAATACACCATCAATAGGCTGTCACTATGGCAACAGGGAGGCGGCGTGAGGGCTCCACGACAGAGACTGCTGCTGCAGTCAGGCATGGCTGTGTCCCTCCTGCCCCTGGTGGTACCCTGGCTGCTGAGACGCCCAAGGCGTTTGTAACCCACTCCCCACAGGAACATGGCTGAAGCCGCACGGCTGCAAAGGAAGGAAGGCAGGGTCTGGCCGCCACAGAGACCTTCCTTAACCCCAACCCAGGCCCAAGCTCCAGGATCACTAGGCTCTGGGATGCCACTGCTCCCGAAGTCTCTGGCATGGGGACCAGAGGCCACCAGAGCCCCTGGTGTCCAAGACATGGCCTCCAAAGCACTTCTCCAAATCTTAGCCATTGGTGCCGTCTTCTCTCAGAACTGATCTCCAGGCAAGGCTTCTGTGACCTCCAAAGCTCATGACTCATCGACCTACCCGTGACACGGCCACTCCCAAATTCGGCGCAAACTCCAACTCTGGGATCCCCTTGCGCTCATGCCAGCCCTGAAAGTGCCTGTCCTCGCCCACCGTGGCCTGCCACAGCGCGCTGGCCCAGCAGCGCTCTTCCGGAGGCCTGGCCAGGCCTCCAGATCCTCCCCCACAGTGCCCGCGCTCAGCTCTTGGCCCTGGACCCCGAGCCTGACCTAGGGGCTGGGCGCCCAACCCCACTGGCCTCACCATTCTCCAGGCCCAGAGGCGGCCGCTCTGCCAGCGCACGCAGCCCGCCACCCCGCCGCGCCTCGCTGGCAGGCCCTGTCCCCGCCCACCTGCTCGGGGTCGACCGAGCCCCCAGTCCCGCTGCTTCCCGTTCCTCCCACCCCACTGCCTCCCACCGCCCCAGGCTCCTGTCCCGCCGCCCAGAGTCCCAGCCCCGCGGCCGGGCCACCAGACCCTGCCCGTTACCTCGGCCCCCGGCCAGCTCGCTCGGGCTCC